CAAGCCTCTAGAGACACCAACACACACAAGCCTCTAGAGACACCAACACACAAGCCTCTAGAGACACCAACACACACAAGCCTCGTGTGTAGAGACACCAACACACACAAGCCTCGTGTGTAGAGACACCAACACACAAGCCTCGCGTGTAGAGACACCAACACACAAGCCTCGCGTGTAGAGACACCAACACACAAGCCTCGCGTGTAGAGACACCAACACACAAGCCTCGCGTGTAGAGACACCAACACACAAGCCTCGCGTGTAGAGACACCAACACACAAGCCTCGTGTGTAGAGACACCAACACACAAGCCTCGCGTGTAGAGACACCAACACACAAGCCTCGCGTGTAGAGACACCAACACACACAAGCCTCTAGAGACACCAACACACACAAGCCTCTAGAGACACCAACACACAAGCCTCTAGAGACACCAACACACACAAGCCTCTAGAGACACCAACACACACAAGCCTCTAGAGACACCAACACACAAGCCTCTAGAGACACCAACACACAAGCCTCTAGAGACACCAACACACACAAGCCTCGCGTGTAGAGACACCAACACACACAAGCCTCGTGTGTAGAGACACCAACACACAAGCCTCGCGTGTAGAGACACCAACACACAAGCCTCGCGTGTAGAGACACCAACACACAAGCCTCTAGAGACACCAACACACAAGCCTCGCGTGTAGAGACACCAACACACAAGCCTCGCGTGTAGAGACACCAACACACAAGCCTCGCGTGTAGAGACACCAACACACACAAGCCTCGTGTGTAGAGACACCAACACACAAGCCTCTAGAGACACCAACACACAAGCCTCGCGTGTCCACCGCGCACGTGTATACAGCGCGGTCCAGATGTCTTGTGACCCCCATTTCATTCTCTAAAGCGGATTTTTTTAATCAGGTTTATTAAAAACCCCGTCCGTGTCGCATGCCACGTGGAGTTTGCGTGGAATGAGCGCGTGTGGTTGGTGCGTGTGCGGGGTGTGTGTGTAGGGTGGAGTGTGTGTAGTGGAGTGTGTGAATATAGTGTGCTGGAGTGTGTGTGTGTATATAGTGTGCTGGAGTATGTGTGTGTGAATATAGTGTGCTGGAGTGTGTGTGTAGTGTGCTGGAGTGTGTGTGTGTAGTGTGCGGTGTGTGTAGTGTGCGGTGTGTTGAGTGTGTGTGGTGTGGAGTGTGTGTGGAGTGTGTGTGTTGTGTGGAGTGTGTGTGTTGTGTGGAGTGTGGTGTGGAGTGTGTGTGTGTTGTGTGGAGTGTGTGTGTGTGGTGTGGTGTGGAGTGTGATGTGGAGTGTGTGTGTGGTGTGGAGTGTGTGTGGTGTGGAGTGTGTGTGTGTGGTGTGGAGTGTGTGTGGTGTGGTGTGGAGTGTGTGTGGAGTGTATGTGTGTGGTGTGGAGTGTGTGTTGTGTGGAGTGTGTGTTGTGTGTTGTGTGGAGTGTGTGTTGTGTGGAGTGTGTGTATATAGTGTGCTGGAGTATGTGTGTGTGAATATAGTGTGCTGGAGTGTGTGTGTAGTGTGCTGGAGTGTGTGTGTGTGTAGTGTGCGGTGTGTGTAGTGTGCGGTGTGTTGAGTGTGTGTGGTGTGTTGAGTGTGTGTGGAGTGTGTGTGTTGTGTGGAGTGTGTGTGTGGTGTGGAGTGTGTGTGTGGTGTGGAGTGTGTGTGTGGTGTGGTGTGTGTGGTGTGGAGTGTGTGTGTGGTGTGGAGTGTGTGTGTGGTGTGGTGTGTGTGTGTGGTGTGGAGTGTGTGTGTGGTGTGGAGTGTGTGTGGTGTGAGTGGGGTGTGTGTGTGTGTGGAGTGTGTGGTGTGGAGTGTGTGTGTGGTGTGGAGTGTGTGTGTGGTGTGGAGTGTGTGTGTGGTGTGGAGTGTGTGTGTGGTGTGGAGTGTGTGTGTGGTGTGGAGTGTGTGTGTGGTGTGGAGTGTGTGTGTGGTGTGGAGTGTGTGTGTGGTGTGGAGTGTGTGTGTGGTGTGGAGTGTGTTGTGTGGAGTGGAGTGTGTGTGGTGTGGAGTGTGTGTGGTGTGGAGTGTGTGTGTGGTGTGGAGTGTGTGTGTGGTGTGGAGTGTGTGTGTGGTGTGGAGTGTGTGTGTGTGGTGTGGAGTGTGTGTGTGTGGTGTGGAGTGTGTGTGTGTGGTGTGGAGTGTGTGTGGTGTGGAGTGTATGTGTGTGGTGTGTTGTGTGGAGTGTGTGTGTTGTGTGTTGTGTGGAGTGTGTGTGTTGTGTAGAGTGTGTGTGTGTTGTGTGTGTGTTGTGTGGAGTGTGTGTGTGGAGTGTGTGTGTGCTTTGTGTGTGTGTGTTTTGTGTGGTGTGTTTTGTGCATGTGTGGTGTGTGTGTGGTGTGGAGTGTGTGTGTGGGGTGGAGTTTGTGTGGAGTGTGTGTGTTGTGGAGTGTGTGTGTGTTGTGGAGTGTGTGTGTGTTGTGGAGTGTGTGTGGAGTGTGCGTGTGCAGTGTGTGTGTGTGTGCAGTGTGTGTTGTCTTTTTATGTGTGTTGTAGTGTGGAGTGTGGCGTGTTGTGTGGAGTGTGCGTTTGTGGTGGAGTGTGTGTGTGTGTGCAGTGTGTGTGTTGTCTTTGTTGTGTGTTGTGGTGTGGAGTGTGTTGTGTGGAGTGTGTGTGTGGTGTGGAGTGTGTGTGGTGTGGAGTGTGTGTGGTGTGGAGTGTGTGTTGTGTGGAGTGTGTGGAGTGTGTGTGGTGTGGAGTGTGTGTGGTGTGGAGTGTGTGTGGTGTGGAGTGTGGAGTGTGTGTGTGGTGTGGAGTGTGTGTGTGGTGTGGAGTGTGTGTGTGGTGTGGAGTGTGTGTGTGGTGTGGAGTGTGTGTGTGGTGTGGAGTGTGTGTGTGTGGTGTGGAGTGTGTGTGTGTGGTGTGGAGTGTGTGTGTGTGGTGTGGAGTGTGTGGTGTGGAGTGTGTGTGGTGTGGAGTGTATGTGTGTGGTGTGTTGTGTGGAGTGTGTGTGTTGTGTGTTGTGTGGAGTGTGTGTTGTGTAGAGTGTGTGTGTGTTGTGTTGTGTGTGTGTTGTGTGGAGTGTGTGTGTTGTGTGGAGTGTGTGTGTGCTTTGTGTGTGTGTGTTTTGTGTGGTGTGTTTTGTGCATGTGTGGTGTGTGTGTGGTGTGGAGTGTGTGTGTGGGGTGGAGTTTGTGTGGAGTGTGTGTGTTGTGGAGTGTGTGTGTGTTGTGGAGTGTGTGTGTGTTGTGGAGTGTGTGTGGAGTGTGCGTGTGCAGTGTGTGTGTGTGTGCAGTGTGTGTTGTCTTTTTATGTGTGTTGTAGTGTGGAGTGTGGCGTGTTGTGTGGAGTGTGCGTTTGTGGTGGAGTGTGTGTGTGTGTGCAGTGTGTGTGTTGTCTTTGTTGTGTGTTGTGGTGTGGAGTGTGTTGTGTGGAGTGTGTGTGTGGTGTGGAGTGTGTGTGGTGTGGAGTGTGTGTGGAGTGTGGCTTGTGTGGAGTGTGTGTGTGCTTTGTGTGTGTGTTTTTGTGTGGTGTGTTTTGTGCATGTGTGGTGTGTGTGTGGTGTGGAGTGTGTGTGTGGGGTGGAGTGTGTGTGGAGTGTGTGTGTTGTGGAGTGTGTGTGTGTTGTGGAGTGTGTGTGGAGTGTGTGTGTGTTGTGGAGTGTGTGTGTGTTGTGGAGTGTGTGTGGAGTGTGCGTGTGCAGTGTGTGTGTGTGCAGTGTGTGTTGTCTTTTTATGTGTGTTGTAGTGTGGAGTGTGGTGTGTTGTGTGGAGTGTGCGTTTGTGGTGGAGTGTGTGTGTGTGCAGTGTGTGTGTTGTCTTTGTTGTGTGTTGTGGTGTGGAGTGTGTTGTGTGGAGTGTGTGTGTGGTGTGGAGTGTGTGTGGTGTGGAGTGTGTGTGGTGTGGAGTGTGTGGTGTGGAGTGTGTGTTTGTGGTGGAGTGTGTGTGTTTGTGGTGTGTGTGGAGTGTGTGTGTTTGTGGTGGAGTGTGTGTGTTTGTGGTGTGTTGTGGAGTGTGTTGTGTGGAGTGTGTGTGTTTGTGGTGGAGTGTGTGTGTTTGTGGTGGTGTGTGTGTTTGTGGTGGAGTGTATGTGTTGTGGAGTGTGTGTGGTGTGGAGTGTGTGTTTGTGGTGGAGTGTGTGTGTTTGTGGTGGAGTGTGTGTGTTTGTGGTGGAGTGTATGTTTTGTGGAGTGTGTGTGTGTGTGCAGTGTGTGTTGTGGAGTGTGTTTGTGCAGTGTGTGTTGTGGAGTGGGGAGCGGTAGTGTAGTGGTTAACGCGCTGCGCTATGAACCTGGCGACCCGGGTTCGATTCCCGCTCACGGCCAACACCGCTGACGATTATCTGAACCGGTCCGGGGTCTCCCCTAGGTCGACTCAGCCTCAAATGAGTAACTGGTGCCGGTGTGCAAACATCGCCACTGGGGGAGACAAAGGCGACCGGGCGTGGTGCTGGCCACCCACCCCCTCGTGTACCGTCCTGGTGCTCGCTAACAGCACTTGCCCCTACAGTCTGTTACAGTCTGTTACAGGCTACACGGGGGATCTTTGTTCTACGTTGCAGATGCACGGGGGAGCGGTGGCGCAGCGGTTAGCGCACTACGCCAACCCGAGCGAAGATTCCCGCTCGGGGCCCAAACCAACACCCGGTGACGATTATCTCTGAACCGGTCCTGCTCACCTCCCCCCTAGGTCTACTCAGCCTCAAATGTGTTCGCACGGCACGCGTCTGCGTAGCGTGAATTCCGAGTGTTTATTTGACGCCGGTGCGAATCTCGCATTCGCACCACATCCTCCTCCTCCTCTCTCTCTCTCCGATACGAGTTGTTGTTTAATCGGAACTACAAGCGTCGGGTTTTTCTCGCCGCCACGTGCCGGGGGAAGAGGGCGACGGCCGACACGTCTCGCTCGCCGTGTGTGTTGGTGTGTGGTGTGGGTGTGGTGGTGTGTGGTGTTGGTGGTGTTGGTGTGGTTGTGGTGGTGGTCTCTCGCATCAAACGAAATTCTCAACGCGCACAAGATCCGTACGCAAGTGCGTTCACTTACCCCCCTTGCAAGAACGCACGTGTCCCACCGCCGAAGCTGACTTCCGCCTGACGCAACGATGAACGAGGCGACAGCATGCAGCATGCAAGGGGCCTCTCTCTCTCTCTGTCTCCCGTCTCATCCACACGCTCCTTCTCACGCCTCTTATATTCGCCTCGCTCACCCACACCCTATTCCCTCTGCCGGCTGTTTCTGTGACTGCATCACGAAGCGAAGCGCGTTTCTCACGCAACAGTTGCGCCATCGCACAGACACACGTGCGCGCGTGCGTGCACGTGTGTGCGTGTCTGTGTGTCTGTGTGTTGAACTTCTTTCGCACCGTACGTAGGCATCCGTGCTAATCGGAAAAATGCGGGGGAGGTGTGGGGGTGGTGGAAGGAGAACAATAAGCTGAACGCAAAAAAGCAGTAACAAATGCGTTTGTTAGTCTAGATAATTTAAAAGCGCATTGCCTCCGGTGTATTCCTCATGTCGGGAAGGAAGAGCGTTCCAGACGGCCGCGGATGATGCTTTGAGCGCCGTCTTTGCTCGACCAAGGGCTCAACTTTGTGTACCTCGCCACGGACTCAATTCCTGATTCCCCCCCCAACCCTAGCGTCAACACCCAGATCCGGAGGAACTCTGCTGCCTTCATCCAGCAGTGGATCGACAAAGGGTATGGGGAATGGTTGATTATAATCGCGATTGGAACAGTTTTTAAGAAAAATACATATTCATGAACTATTCTAGAAATGAATAATTCAGTCACTGACCCCGCTGTCTCGAAGTCTGCTATTTGGTAGAGAATGCAATGGCATCCTGCATCCATCCCCATCATCCATACAAACCACTCCCGTCATTGGCACAATCGCATTCTACTCGGCTATCCTGTGGCCGAAAACGTCGCCAGGTTTAGGGATACTGTAAATGCAAAACAAGCGTTGGGGTGGTCTAAGATGTCCTGAGGGTATTCTCCTCCATCGTATCTATGGTGTATCGTCTGAGATCTCTCCCGCAAGAGCCCTCAATTTAACAAAACTCAGCTACTTTTATTTACCGGGTTAAAGCGCACTTAGCACTCGGTTATTTTTTTCAGAGGCGACCTCACCACACGTAGTTTCATAGTTTAGTTCATAGTTTCATTTATGTTGGTATAGCCCTGTGAGCCATTCGGCTCTTGAATCGGGTGCAACCGCAACAAACAAAAAAACAAAAACATGAACAAGAAAAACATCTTAAAGTGACTTTGTGCATGTACAAACAAAATCTAGGAAAAAAACATCAAAATATTCCTGAAATAGCACCGTACACCAACGCTGTGTGCAAAAATCCCAGTGGGATGCAAGTCAAACAACAACAACAAGAAACTTAGATTAAGGCCATCAGTCTAACTCCGTACTACAATAAACAAAAACATGGCCAAACCAAAAAACTTTTAGAAATCACCAAAATAAAGCCATAAATGCAATGTAACAGTGATCATAGGAACTGTGACCGAATTTTTTTTACAATAAACTACATAAATAACACGTAACACCAAACCCTAGAAGCTGCTGATATCACCATCATCATCATATGTGGAGAATTTATACTGGTAGGAACGAAGTTGTAAACTGAGTGTACCAGCCTGCAATAGATTAATGTGTCCGTCCGTCCGTCCCCTTTCAATACTTTAACGAAGTGAAATCTCGTGCTGTTGGGTGTAAAATCAGCAATAGACAGCGCAGAGACTTGATATGTCTTATTGCACCCAACATTTGGAAGTCACATTATCTCATTTGCGAACTTCGCTTTTGGGGATGTGGCAAATTCACACACAGCCCACAGCCGAATACCATTTGCGAGGCGAAGTTCGAAGGCACCGTGACGTTACTTTGCCAATGTTCCTACCAGCCCACCCTGCAGGGACCTGTTAGTAGCAGCCAAAAAAAATCTCAGCAAAACGTGACCAAGGGGAGAGAGAAAAAGCGGATTCCAAATATCCAACAGGCATCGTTGGATATTTGGAATCCGCCCGGGGATTAAACCCAAAGGCGGAGCCAGGATTTTCAGGTAAGGAGGGGCAACCCCTCCAGCAATGAAAAATTATAGAGGAGTTGTTAGTAAGTAAGGAGTTGTTAGTAAGTAAGGAGTTGTTAGTAAGTAAGGAGTTGTTAGTAAGTAAGGAGTTGTTAGTGAGTAAGGAGTTGTTAGTGAGTAAGGAGTTGTTAGTGAGTAAGGAGTTGTTAGTGAGTAAGGAGTTGTTAGTAAGTAAGGAGTTGTTAGTGAGTAAGGAGTTGTTAGTAAGTAAGGAGTTGTTAGAAAGTAAGGAGCTGTTAGTAAGTAAGGAGTTGTTAGTAAGTAAGGAGTTGTTAGTGAGTAAGGAGTTGTTAGTAAGTAAGGAGTTGTTAGTAAGGAGTTGTTAGTAAGTAAGGAGTTGTTAGTAAGTAAGGAGTTGTTGGTGAGTAAGGAGTTGTTAGTAAGTAAGGAGTTGTTGGTGAGTAAGGAGTTGTTAGTAAGTAAGGAGTTGTTGGTGAGTAAGGAGTTGTTAGTAAGTAAGGAGTTGTTAGTAATAAGTAAGGACTTGTCCCTTGCTTTTTATCCGACGCGTGTGCGGCGATGGCCCAGCCATCGATCGAGGGTCGAATTCGAACCGCGTTGTGTGATCGCCATCGCGCTCGCTGAAGGTGTTGATGCCTTCAGGGAAGTCGTGGACTCTGTATAGGCAACTGTGCACAATTCTGTGAGTCACTTATAACCGCATTGCCGTTACTTATTGTCAATTTATAGACTCAAACTATTGTCCTATCATCTCATAAAGTCCCTGGCACGTAATAATATGCTACACAGTGGCAGTGGGGGTCGCAAAATGCCGATTTATTACTAATACACCCCAATGATCCGATCGAAATTAGGGATTTCCATCGGATCATTGGGGGGGGGGGGGGGGGGGGCACGTGCCACCCCACTGGCTCCGCCAGTGATTAGTCCCATGGGCTCTTGCGTTGCAGGTGAGGGTGTTAACGTATTCTCGCCACTGCGACACCCAATTATGCATACCCGGTCGTGTAACCATCTCAACGAGATAATGCGAACATACATTATGCATGCTAAATGCATTTAAATTTTGACTTAAAACTTTCGTCACTGCAGGAATTCATATTCTTTGGTTCTTTCGGTAAAGCCACGTAGAAAGAAATTAAAAATAAAAATAAATGAATTAAAAATAAAAGCAATAAAACCACGACGTTTCGATCGCAACACAAGCGGTCTTCATCAGGCGGAGAGAAAGGAAGGGGGCAAGCCTTCCAAATGCAACTGCCTATGAGGGCTTTGATCACTTTGAAACGTAGTCGTTTGTTTGTTTTATGTTTATTATTTTTAGCATTTTGAACATATCTCCGTGCCTTTACCGAAAGACCCAAAGAATTCGAGACCGTGAATTTTCTGAATAAAAGCAGGTGCCTCCTACAAACCCCGTCTCCGAATCACCGACACTCCGTACGTATGCATTACATACCTTAGTAACCCCCAAATACACCACACTCTCAAAAGCGAATGGATCCCACATGACTCAAGCGTGATCATACATAGCAACCAGTGGCACCCCCGGACGAGCGAAAACGGGTGAGGACCCATCCCTGAAAGATTTGATATGAGATTTAAAAGCGAGGATTTCCCTGGATAGCCAACAGGGGCCCTTCTGGACAAATACAAAACAAAATAGACAATGCCCAGAGTTGCACCGGCCATCCATCCAGCCACTGGCGCGTGAGGCTCCGTGGGGATTCTAGATTTGAAGCTTTCGTGACTGCAAGGATCCATACTCTTTGGTTCTATTCGGTAAAGTCACGTAGGTAAAAACAACAAAAATCACGACGTTTCGGCCACAACACAAGCGGCCTTCATCAGGTGAAGGGACCGGACTGTCTCGAAGACTGCGCTGGAGTGAAACAGAGCCAAGCTCAGACCGCGGCTTTTAAGCTGTGTGAGAGGGATTAAGGTGCCTTGACAAAGGAATTAGCATAACGATTTGCATTTTAATAGGCGGACTTAGCATGATGAAAGGTAGGGAGGGGGTCGACCTGTGCAGGCTGGCGATGGGGGCACGGCAGCGTCCACATGCTGGTGGTGTGAAAAGGGGATTTTAAAGAAGTTGCGAAAGTTTGGGGCACCGCTACTTGGTACTTGGTACCCCAAACCAATACTCCGTGGGGATTGTTGGTCGCCAGGCATGAGGCTAGCGATGGTGCAGTGGGGAAGAGAAGCTCGGCTTATTAGCTAACACGCAGATGATCGTGTTTCATGGCTACAGCGTTAAATTATAGGGGTGGGGGAGGGGAGGTTTAAATCACTATTTTTTGCCAATGCTGCACGTGCTTTGAATTTCCACGACGCAAAACTCGGGGTTCACAAGCTTCCGTTCGACGTCGACGTTACGTAATGTAGTGCGAAGAAGGACGAATGTAACGGAGGTATAGTACATGATGGTCGGATTCATTACTTTTAAGGTTGTATGAAAAAATAATGTTTTTTTTAATTTAATTTCTAACACGCCACCGCTGCACAGTATCCCGCTCGCTCTCATAGAGAGAGCACGGCTCAGAGGCAATGAGGAAGGAACCACAGACAGCCGACGCTAACGATCCTCCAAGCTCTGCAGTCCTCTAAGTAACAAGGTGTTCTCGGCCAATGAATGAGGGTTTTCACGTGGATAGGAAACCGGAGCAACCGAAGAAAACCCACCCAACAAGTGAGAGGTAACAGGTCCCTGCAGGGTGGGAATTTTGCGCAATTTGATTTTTACACCCCAACAGCACGAGATTTCACTTCGTTAAAGTATTGAAAGGGGACGGACGGACGGACACATTAATCTATTGCAGGCTGGTACACTCAGTTTACAACTTCGTTCCTACCAGTATAAACACTCCATCCCGTACAGGCAGGACAGGTGGAGTCCACGTTTGCTCTACACCGCCTTCTCGCATCGAGTCGGGGCTCTTGGCACCTCGGCAACCCAAGGGGGAAGGGAGGTTTCAGTTTCATTTATTAGGTACTAGCTGCAGTACCCGGCTTCGCACGGGTCTGTACGGAAGACAGAGCTCGAATGGACGACGCCATGCATGGACAGCGTTTATTAAGCTGTGTGGGCGGAGTTAAAAAAAAAAAACATGCTGGTAACGTACAGACTCTTCACCCGAAGAAGGCTACTTGTGTTGTGGCCGAAACGTCGTGAGAAATTTTTTATTGTCTCATTTTGTCTAAATTGTTTTATTCTCATTCTACGTGGTGACTTTACCGAAAGAACCACGAAGATGAACTACTTACTTTGCTTCATCAAACCCCAATGTATTTATTGACATTATACTTTTCTTTGTACCGTTGAGAACCAAAGGAATGCAAGGCTGTAGTAAAGGTTAAGAACCGCTGCTTTAGTAGCCTTCATGCGGCTATGGCTTACGCCAAAGACGCCTTTCACCATTTAAGTGCTGCGTTTTTCGATTCCATTTCTCCTCCGTTTCCCTGCCAGTTTACAGTCCCACGAATGAATGCGTTCTATTGGCACAACGGCAAAACTAACTCGGGCTCCGTTTGTTCCGTCCTCATGGGACAGAGTGTTTCCCCCTCGCACGTGTGGGTTTTCTCTGGGTGCTCTGTTTCCTCCCACACGTAAGCTGCTCATTAATTGGCTGACAACACCTTCATATGCAGAGGACCGGAGAGCTTGGGCAATCTTCCGCTCGTCGGCTGTTCCCACTCGCGCCTTCCGAGTCATCCTCTCTCTACGAGAGCGGGGGGGGGGAGATACCGTGTGTGGCAGTGCGTTCCAAGTTGAAATCATTCTTAATTGCTCGTCTACCAAGGAAGCCACGCAAAGGCCAACGACTGTTTTTTTTCCTTCCCGGAGTGTCCCGCATTTTGTGTGTTGTTTTAATATCGAATGAATGCATTCTGTTGCTTGCGGTCTGATATAAATCAGCATTTCCATTGCTGATGGACAGGTAAGCGCTCACCAGTTTGAATGGACAACCAAAGCCAAACAGACTCATTCTATCCCACAGACACTGAGTTAATCCGCATCCCCACCCTCTGTACTCGCGACTCATAAGACCACAGCACACGCCTGCCCCGAACTAGATACTAACTCCCACCCCCCCCATCTCCCCGAAAAAAAACCTTACACAATTCCCCCCCCCCCTACCGCAAAAAATAAAGATACTGACCCACAATCTCGCTGAACTATCAAATGCCTTTGGTGCAGAAAACCTCTGCGTTGTTGCGAAATTCGCCCTCGGCAAAAAATCTCATTCTGGAGTTACGAAATTTCCCCATTGAAACTTATCATCCGAAGAGATCAAATTCTTGCAACAGTCTCAACAAGAACATGTCCTGTAAGGAATACACGAGGACATATAGGGTGCGATTTTTGTGTGGGGAGGGGGGAGGGGGTCAGGGACTACCTCTGACTCTGTATTTTTTATCCCTGGGATTGCACTTTTAGTACTCATCCCGGCAAGGGATGACAACACTGGAATGTCAGGACACTACCCCTCAAACGGGGAAGAAGAGCAAAAGTGACGTGCATTTCGAATCTCTGTGGAATAAGCGCAACGAGGTGGCTTGGTTCGGGTCAGCCCCGCTTTGAGAATTGTACCTCGTGGTGTAAAGTAGTGGTCGGAAGAATGATGAGCATCAGGCAGGAGTAGGGACAGTCATTAGCAACAGGATAGCGAAGTTCGTGACCAAGTTTGTACCCAAATAATAATAATAATCCAGCACTGTAGAGGCGAGGGTTTGTGTATCGAACAAATGCTGTGCAACTCCCTTCACCGAGGTGTCAAGGTGTCATAACCCTGGCTTGCCAGAAGGCATATACTAAATGCCTCTGTTGATTTTTAAACTTTGACTTTAACACAGCTATTTCTGTCACAAGCTAATCCCTCGGCTATTCAATGCTAAATTCTCCTGCTCTGATATGTAAACTCCTTTGTCAAGGCTCTTCACGCTTCTCACCGAGCTAAAAAAAACGCTATGATTTACTTTATAATAGTTGGTAATTGGAGGCCTTTAGCGTCCATATACTAAATGCTTCTGTGGATATGTAAACTTTGACTTTAACACAGTTATTTCTGTCACAAGCTAATCCCTCAGTTTTTTCAATGCTAAATTCTCCTGGTTTGATATGTGAACTCCTTTTTCAAGGCTCGCCGCGCCTCTCACCGAGCTTAAAAAGACGCTGCGAATCTTAGCAGCATTAATTGAAGCTCTGTCGTCCCGACAGTTCTGTTCTTTCACCTGAAGAAGGCTGCTTGTGTTGTGGCCGAAACGTCGTGATAATTGTATTGTCTTATTTTATTTTATTATTTTATTCTCATTCTACGTGACTTTACCGAAAGAACCAAAGAAAATGTGGACTCCGTTTGTTCCATCTTCATGGGATAGAGTGTTGCCCCCTCGCACGTGTGGGTTTTCTCTGGCTGCTCTGTTTCCTCCCACATTTAAGCTGCTCGTCAATCGGCTGGCAACACCTTCATATGCAGAGGACCGGAGAGCTTGGGCAATCGTTGGCGTCGGCTCATCGCACGGCTGCTGCTGCTGCTGCCTTTCCGCTCGTCCGCGGTTCCCACTCGCACCTCTGAGTCATCCTCTATCTACGAGAGCGGGGGGAGATATCGCGTGTGGCAGTGCGTTCCAAGTTGAAATTATTAATTAGTCGTTTGCTCAGCAAGCCACACAAAAGGCCAACGACTCTTTATTTTCCGGAGTGTCCTGCATTGTGTGTGTTTTAATATTGAAATGTTCCGAGCGGATTATTCTATTCAGGCCACGGTTGGAGACATTGCGAAGTGTCGATCGTGGAAGCTTAAGAGCCCATTGGGACAGCAGAGGAAGATATCAAAGATACATTCTACAATAGTCTCACACGTACGTGTTGAGCATGGAATGTTTGAGTTTACTTTTATTTGTTACACGGATGGTCCCGTTAATGTTGAACTTCTTACGCACCCCACGGAGCCAACGGCGCCAATCGGAGGCGCGGGTGGAAGGACAACAAACTAAACACAAAAATCAGTTCTAAAGAAATGCGTTTTCAATCTAGATTTGAAAGTGCATGGCTTCAGTCCCTTCCTGATATCGGAAGGAAGAGCGTTCCAGACGGCCACAGAAGCACACTTGCCCTAAGCCAATGTCCCGGCTATTTTACACGGGAGATCCGCAGTGCGCGAACACAGCAGTAACACAAACAGAAGGCAAGGAACAAACGAGGCTTTGAACGACCAAAAACGAAACATGCACGCGAACCGGAAGAAAAAAAGGTATGAACGTGAGAGCAGGAGAAGAAGCCAGGTCTGATTATTTTAAATCATCGATCGCTGTATCAATGATCGGTTTGATTTCTCTAATCGATGGAGGACACGGAAATGGATGTAAAAGGGGGTATCTCACCGCTGCGTCCCATTGGAGGAAAATCGATGGGAGGAACTCTTCGACGTCACCCGCATCATTAATCGCGTCCCGGTGGGCGTGGCTTGCAAGGGGGTTTCCTGCCTTCAGGAGGCAGGGATGTTATTCTTGGTGGCTGCGATTTTTAAATGTGCCCGAGGAATCGAAAACAAAAAGAGTCCTTGGTTCAAATGTGTCATTGATTTAAATGAACGATCACCCCCCATCTCCATTGATTAGTCACGTTCATAGTTATCATCTCTTCTGGATTTATTGAACCCCTTATCTCGAGGTCCTTTACAACAATTGTAAAATGTTGTATATGAGATTAAAGTGGTTGAGATAAAGAGTGGGGTTTTTTTTAAGTGGTGGTGTAGTTGTGGTGACAGGAGAACAGGCGGGAGTGGTTAAGGAGTTGCTGGGGTAGGGGTAGTGATAGGGGTAGTGATAGGAGTTGGGGTAGTGGTTGTTATAGGGGTTGGGGTAGTGATAGGGGTAGGGTAGTGATAGGGGATGAGGTAGTGATAGGGGTAGTGATAGGGGTTGGGGTAGTGATAGGGGTAGTGATAGGGGTTGGGGTAGTGATAGGGGTAGGGGTAGTGATAGGGGTAGGGGTAGTCATAGGGGCTGGGGTAGTGATAGGGGTTGGGGTAGTGATAGGGGTTGGGGTAGTGATAGGGGTTTGGGTGGTGATAGGGGTTGGGGAAGTGATAGGGGTAGTGATAGGGGTAGTGATAGGGGTTGGGGTAGTGATAGGGGTTGGGGTAGTTATAGGGGTAGGGGTAGTGATAGGGGTAGTGATAGGGGTAGTGATAGGGGTTGGGGTAGTGATAGGGGTTGGGGTAGTGATAGGGATAGGGGTAGTGATAGGGGTAGTGATAGGGGTAGGGGTAGTGATAGGGGTTGGGGTAGTGATAGGGGTTGGGGTAGTGATAGGGGTAGGGGTAGTGATAGGGGTTAGGGTAGTGATAGGGGTTGGGGTAGTGATAGGGGTTGGGGTAGTGATAGGGGTAGGGGTAGTGATAGGGGTTAGGGTAGTGATAGGGGTAGGGGTAGTGATAGGGGTTGGGGTAGTGATAGGGGTTTGGGTAGTTCTAGGGGCAGTGATAGGGATAGGCCTGGCCGTAAATGGCGGGGGGAGGGGGGTGGAGCTAGTGCAGGGAGTAGCAGTCGCAGGATGATAGTGATGATGAAAGCTGGCTTGAGTGAAGAGATGATTGTTTAACGTGCAGCGGGAGCGAGACTGGGTGCAGGGCGAGGGAGGCACGGGTTGTGACCGTAGAGACCGGGACGAGGTGCAGAGTTGTGAACGAACGAGTTGAAGCAAGATGAGGTGGAGCAAAACGACGGACGTATTTTTAGACGAGGGGTGAGAATCTTGATTTGAAGCTTTCGTGGCTGCAGGAATCCACACTCTTTGGTTCTCTCGGTAAAGTTCACGTGGGTAGAATAATAATAATAGATACACGACGTTTCGATAGCAACACAAGCCATCGTCCTCAGGTGAAACAATGCAGCAGGGGAACTGCTGAGGCTCGAGGAAATGTGAGTCGGGGTGAGAATTTGAAACATAAAGCCATCGTAGTGGACACGGAGATCAGCGGAGTTGGGAAAGTCGAGCAGAGGCGTGTGGAATTGTGGGGGGTTAAGTGGAGAGGGGGGGGGGGGGGTTAATAAGTAATATTTAAAAATACTTTTTTTTTAAACACGCTTTAATGAAATGTACCGTACGAGTAATGTAAGAACTCCACGACTCCAGGAAGTGGCCCCGAAGCTTTGCCATAACGTAAGGGGTTCCGTGGTGATTTACAGCCAACGTCAGTTGAGCGTGGACAATTAGACCCAAGCCGAAACATCTAACATATAAAAAATAATGTTTAAAAAAATATATATTTTTTTATGATATAATATAGTAATTGTCATCAGTATGACATAAGTACACCGAGTTTGCAGTCGATACGAAATTGGAAAGTGGGTTAAAACTGAGTTACAAGAATTGAGGATACAACGACAGACGGAGTGAGTTTATCAAAATCGTGTAGAGGAATGTTTCAAAATATATTTTTTATTTTTTCTATGGAATACATAATAAAAGCGTGTGATAATAATAATAAAATGATCCGGGCTGAGGCGTTTTGCACAAGGCCGTAATTATAATATATATTGGGAGGGATACATCCCCCCCCCACCCCAATAATCAAATATGCTCAAAATGTCCCCCCCCCCCCAATATATTGATAGAAAAAAATAAAATTGCTATGCTATGTAAATAAAAACAACAATTTTGCTAAACCTTGGCCACAATATCTGGATATGTCTTCATATAAATCAATGCATCGATTGCTGTTCACATGATTGTGGTTATGGTTGTAATTTATTAATCCCTAATCTCTGCCATTACATACAATGAAACAAGAAATGGTTAAAAAAAGTAAAAACAGAGCAATGTGATACAATACACTATTAGACATTATTGTAAAAATTAATAAAAAGTCCATCCCATGTGTTAGGCAGGAAATTAGTTTTCAAATTTAGATATTTTTCTGGGTTGGGACCCCCAGACACCCTGGAAGATTTGGACCCCCCCCCCCCGCCCCCAATGTTGACTCCATGGCTACGGCCTTGGTTTTGCGTGAGTGTGTGTCGTTATTGTTGGAGAGGAGTGAAAGCGTGGGCCAGAAGGCCGAGGAGCAGAGGAGTTGCAATCGTCAATGATGAGTGAAAATGAGGGAGTGAACCGGTAGGCTATGCTATGCAGCAGCAGCAGAAGCGCGGGACGAGTTGGCTGCAGGATTCACACAAAGTCTTGGCACGAGGGCTGGGATTGTTTTCGTGTCATTCATCAGACCAGCGTCTTTCTCCTGTATGAAAATTTGACATTAGCTTTTACTCTTTCTGGCAATACAAACGGGTGTCATAAGATGTTCAAACACCAACGGGGATGCCTTTTGCAAGGAATCGAATCCACATTAACCAACACACAGTACCTGTGGTGAACATGCGAACTAACGTGCTCTGCCATTGGAACCCCCTTTGCCTGTAGCAAAATATGATAATTGTTTTTTTACCCTTTTATCTGGCAACAAAACTGACACCTTTTTTACAAGGAGTCATGTTTGCATTCACCACAATACCTGCGGTCGGAATGCAAACATAAAAAACACATAACTCTGATAATGTATTAGCACTGTCCTTGAAATTGATTGGTCCACACCCGAGACAGCTTTCCTTAGAGCCTAGTCTCACATGGTGTTGGACCAGATGACGCTCTGATCATTGTAATGTGTACATCAGAGAGGGACAGCCTAATCTCACCAAAGTCAGACCAGAGAACGCCCTAAGGTCGAACGGTGCAAAGGGGCCGTCCATAAATGACGTCACGCGATTTTGGCTCTATCACGGGGACTTTTTTTTTTCCCAGCATCAAAGTGTTTGGAGCTCATGCCGAGTGGTGGATGCCCCTCCGGATTCAAAGTTAATTTTCTGTACCCATCTGGTGGAACAATCTGTTTCTCATTCCCTTCTGGTGCCGGAGTAATATTGTTCACGAAAGTAATTTCGTCAATATTGCAAAAAAAATTTTTTTTAAGGGATGGAGGTGGCTCAGTTTGGCTTGACCAACAGATGTTGAATTTTTTTTCAAATAAATCCTCAGCTCCTACGTTGCATCATCACGTGCACCTGATCTCTAAATGCACAACGAGACAACTCCACAACTTTATACTTGCAATCGTATCACCAGGTGCAACTTCTAGGCCACGCACGCTGCGGAGTTGACGCTAGTCCTTTTGCCGTTGTGCAATTAACATTCCAATAATTTTTTTTTAAAAAATTGTATCAATACTAATCCTCGGGTGGATTGCTATGGATGTCTGCCGCAAGCTGTCCACCACTTCACTGCTCGCCAATCCTTAACCTCGACATTTTAATGCGGCCGCAAGTTCAACTTCAATACCGCTGCAATTTCAACTTTTCATACAACTGCAATGTCATCTCGCCGCGCATTCGCTGCGGCACAGATTCGGAGGTGGGTCTCGAGGTTGCCACACCGTGGCTTGCCAGGAGAAGGCGATACAGCAAGAATGTGGGCCCCCACCTTTGCCCCCGTATGCCCCCTCGAACGAATGGGCTTTCTGCGGATGCTCCAGGTTTCTTCCCACTAATTCGCCGAGAATACTTTCGCGCAGAGAGGACCGCAGAACACTGGCGGGTGGGGGAATTAGGCGCTGTCTCACCACGTGGCACCTCCGAGCCGTTCTCAGAGAAGTACTTGGCTGCGCGGCAATACATGTCCACGTGACGATGAGCCACTTTGTTGAGCTGTCATTCGTGGCCAGGTCGCTTCTGCAAAAAAAGAGCTTGTATATAGCTCAGTGGGCCTTACCTGGTCAAATAAAAATAAAAATAGTCGATTGTATAATTAAATCGTTTTTTGTCACGTGCATGTCGCGACGTTATTTCCCGCCCCCCCCCCCCCCTGTGAAGCATCCGGAGATGTGGTTGGATTTAGCCACCGTCACATCGGTGGTGGAGGGTTAAACGCCAAGACTTCTGGCGTAAAGTTATCTCGTGACCGTAAAATTAAGAAACGGTTTCGTTTCCTCGCTCCCTTTGTGAATCTTCGGCGACGGCTGCGCGCCGCCGAAGCTTCACGAGCTGCTCATTTTTTTTTGTCAACCTCGAATACTTGAAAGCTTATAACAACCGCTCTGCCAGCTGCTTTCAGCGGAGATTTGCCTACGGCTCGCGCCAACCGAGCAACGCAAATTCGTGCCCACCACCCCCCACCCCCAACGTTTCATTGGGGCCCGATCCACCACCTACGGCCGAGTCGGTGGCGATTAAAATTTGCGCGGATTTTTTTTTTTTGGCACGCCATTATTAAATCGCGAGTTCTCTCCCTTTCTTCGTTAGTCGGATTTTCAGCGGCCGTCGGAATACTGCCAATTTTGTAGCCCGCCTGTGTGGTTTTATTTTTTTGGCGATGCGCAACGAATTCCATCCGGCTATGGGGAAGCTTTCCCACGCGCCATGAACATTCTTGCTTAATAAATAGATACAGTACTAGCTTTTGTGCCCGTCCAAGGACGGGTGTACATTGCAGTAAATCTGAAATATCCAGCTCATGATTTATTAATGAGGGGGGGGGGGGTTGCCCCATGTGGAGTGACGTCACGCGGGGGGGGTTGGGCCTCAAGTGGAGTGACGTCACACGCGGGACACACATTCTTGGCTTATTATAGGAATAATTTTTCATTGCCATTAATGAAAGCTCCATCACACATTTGGTTTTTGGCAAACATACGCGCGCGAGCGAGCGCATGCTCGCACACACGAACTGTTTGTGCGTACGGGTAAAACCGACATCGTCAAGGAGCGCTTCTGCGGCCGTCTGGAACGCGCTTCTGCGGCCGTCTGGAATGCGCTTCTGCGGCCGTCTGGAACGCCCTTTCCGATGTTAGGAAGCCCCTAGAGAGATGCACTTTCAAATCAGCTACATTGACAAACTAATTTCCTTACAACTGCTTTTTGTGTTCAGTTTGTGTTCCTTAACCCGCACCTCCGATTAGCGCTGTCGCCCACGTACGGTGCGACAGAAGTTCAACATACATATGTGGAGGAGTAGTGGGATGACGTCATGTCATCTGTAGAGTTCGATGACGTGATGATGTCATGTCATCGAGTCGGCGGGGTACTTAGGGGGGAACCCTGGGACGAGGGCGGGGGTCGCCGTAGGGGAGCGAGAGAGCGGGGAACGAGAGCCCGCGTGGTCGACATCCCAGCCGCCGCCGAAGAAGGGCCAGAGATGTAGAGGTCTCACCTCGTCGCCGGGCGGTGATGGGTGAGTCCCCGCTCGGGGCCAGACGAGGTGATAAGACGTAAGGGAAGCCGTACCGGGGCTGAGATAACCGAGGGATGTCCACGGCTGTAAGCGTCGAGCGTAGAGAGTGGAAACAAGAGTGTGTAAGAGTGTGTAACAGTTGTGAATAAACGGCAAAGCAGCCCTATGTAAAAATCCTCGAATCCTGGGTGTCAAGAGTTACCACACAACACACACGTACTCTTTGTTTTTTTCGGTAAAGTCACGTAGAAATAATAAAATAAAAAATATATACAATAGCATACGACGTTTCGATTGCAACACAAGCAATCGTCATCATCAGGTACAGAAGAGCTAAATTTAAGAGAGCGAGATGGAGGAAACACATAACCGAAAGATATATATACACAGACCTTAAGTAGAGGGAATCGACACAGACACACCTGTGGACACAGAGAGAGAGAGACGGAGCACACCAAATCAAACAGGGATTTTACCGAAAAAAACAAAGAGTAATTCCTGCAGTCACGAAAGCACCTAATCAAGTTCGAACACGCACATAACAGCGAGTTCATAGTGTCCCGACGCATAATGCATACACAGCTCCCTGGCCAGGCGCGGTGATGCTGCTGCACGTCTGTGATGCAGCACTGTGGGGGGCTAACGAGAGTTGATGGATCACCGGGTAACCACCAAAAAGTCGCAAAAATTCCCTTCCCGTGGGTGTCGAGGTGCCATACCCCTGGCTCGCCACGAGACGGCGATGCAGTAAAAAGTGTGGCCTGCACCTGTTACGGTCTGTGTGTGGGGCCGTCCATAAATTACGTCACGCGCCTAGGGTGGGGGGGGGGGAGTCAGACATTTGTGACGATGTGTGACGAGAGGGTGGGGGGGGGGTTGTTTGAGAAATGTGACGTCACATCAAAATGCACAACTTTAAATAAATATAGAATTCACATTCTTAGTTTTTTCGGTAAAGTCACGTTGAAGAGAAACAACAAAATAACAAAATATATATTGTTTTATATATATTTTGTTATTTTGTTTTATATATATTTTGTTATTTTGTTGTTTCTCTTCAACGTGACTTTACCGAAAAAACTAAGAATATGAATTACTGCAGTCACGAAAGCTTTAAATCAAAAATATAGAATTGTTATAACTACACTCCTACAACATCAGAGTGCAGCGCCACATTAAATACGCACTACAATGACAATAGTTTAAAGCGATTTGAAGCATGTTTTTTTTCAAAATGGAAATGATTTTGGGGGGGGGGGCAGATCTTTGTGACGTCATATTTGAGGGGGGGCTGACGTCATTCATGTACGTCCCCTGTGGGATAGAGAAGGGGTCGATAATGAAAACAAAATAAATTCCTTTAAAAAATTTTTTTTTAAACAACGCTTTTATTAACAACCTCGTTTAACTCACGGTCGAGAAGTACGTCGATGATGCGGCGCCTGCTCCCACATCAACGCTTACTTGAATTCATTGATTACTTTATAAATTAATCTTCAACGTGCAACTTCTGTTTGTGTGGAGTGAGGGTGCCCGTAACTCGTTGACACGTGGCGCCCGGGACGATACGTGACGCCCGCTTCTTGGGCGAGGCGATTGGAGAGTTTAGGGACCGCGGCGTTTTTGACCTACACAAATTTATATATAAATATTAAGGCGTCCATACAAAATGTTAAATTGCTTTAATGTAACGAATTAATGTACTAATTTTGATATGGGCATGCATTGTCACCGGATCTGAGCAAGTGTGCAAAATGTGGAATTGATTGGACAACGGGAAGTGGACTAACTTTCGATTACAAGATTTGACCACGACAAACATAGGAATCAAGTTAAGTAAAACCGTTGAACGAAAGCCATCTTATCGGAATTCGGTAAAAAAATATATAAAAAATAAACCACTCGGTTTTTCAAGAGCCGGAGTGCGTGTCAATACGAGACGTCCGTCGTGTGCAACTTTTTTCGTGACTTTCCTGTCCGAAGGCTGTAAATGTTTTGTGAGGGGCACCGCAGGCGCTCCCGAACAACCCCCCAGTAACTGCTCACATGACATTGACTTTTCCAAGACAGAGGTTCTTTGTAAGCCATCTGGCTACCATGAGAGATTCGTCCATGAGGCTATCCACATATACAAGCACAGAGACAATTTCAACCGAGAAGATGGATTCTGGCTTAGCAATCATTGGAAAGATTTGATAAACCATTTCAGGTCTTAATTGATTGTTCACGCTTACAGTGGCTTTCAGACAGCATACATTACAAAATTTTCGTCTCCCCCCTCCTCTTTTCAGAACATAGATGGACTAGTCCTTCTAAATAAACTGCCAAATCGCTGCGCGTGGCGCTAACGTTTTTTATAAATAAATAAATACACCGTTTAAAAATACATAAATTTATGCGAACCGACACACCTGATGACGACCGTTTGTGTTATGGTCGAAACGTCGTGAGAATTTTTATTGTTTTATATATATTTTATTATTTTATTGTTTCCCTTCAATGTGACTTTACCGAAAGAACTAAGGATATAACCCCCCAGTAATAAAATAATGCCTTAACCCGTCACAGTAATTTTTTGAACCCATCTACGTGAATTTACGCAAAGACCCAACTAATATGAATTCCTGCAGTCACGAAAGCTTCAAGTCAAGTAAATTTGAAGTTTGCGCGTGTCTCTCTCCGCGTTGTCGCGTGGATTTTTCTCCGGGGTCCTCCGGTTTCCCCCTCCACATTTAGAAACGTGCCTTTAGAGGAAGCATATAGTAATGTTTTACCCTTTTAACTGGCACAAAAACTGACACCTTTATTCAAGGCATCATGTTTGCAATAACCACAACACAAGCAGTCAAAATGCAAACAAAAGAGACAACTCTGATAATAATATTGGCACTGTCCTTGAATTTGATTGGTCCACACCCGAGGCGGCTTTTCTTAGAGCCTAGTCTCCACTGGTGTTGGACCAGATGACGTACACGTACACGTGTTTTGAACTTCGTTCGCACCGTACGCAGCCAACCGCGCTAATCGGCGGTGCGCTGGCGCTGAGAGTGTCCACCTGAACGATCGACGCCAACGACGCCTATAGTGGACAATCCACGCGGACGCTTATCCACATCTGGTCAACGGGACGGTCACAGTCGAATTGACCGGCTCTCTCTCTCTCTCTCGTTTATTTTAGTTATCTATATGCATAAAAAAGGGAAATTTGTGAATGTGTCTGTTCGAAATGTTTAGCATACTTCCCGACATGCAACAAACTTGAAATTTGGCATGTGGGTAGCCTCCAGACTGTACACAACGTAAGAAGTATAAAAATACACTATTGTAATTTGGGGGGGGGGGGGGGGGGGAGGCGCAATAATGGATATATTTTGCACGGCAAGTGAGCGTTGACGTCACATCTGTGATGTCACCAGCATGCGGCAGCGTCACGCAGTGTGCCTGCTGACGTCACGCATCCCCCCCCACCCTCCGCATAGATCGTGCATTAATCCAAGACAAGATTCCAAGTCTCAGGCGAAGCCGGGTGGTAAACCTAGTAGTAATCATAATAATAATAGGATACTTATCGCTACCCCCCACCCCCCCATGGCAAATGTTTTGTCCGCCAGACAGTGCTTCACGTGTTACGCTGCTGCAAAGCGGTAGCGATATTTGGCTGCTATAAATTTCCACATGATGATGATGAGCCACTTCGGCGAGCTACCATTTGTGGCGAGCTCGCTTCTAAAAGGAGCTCGATAGCTCGGTGGGCCTTGCCTGGTAAAATAATAAATAGTTCATAGTTCTACTTGAGAAATTAGGAATTATTTTTGTATCACAGTGTACGTGTAGGTTTTTTTTCCCCCGATTTCACACGCTCCTGGCACAATTCACACCCATTTTTGCAACGCTAAGCGGCGGTTCGTTTGAAAACAATCGCCGTACAAATTTATAAATGTAACACAGCTATCTGTGCACGGTTCATGAGGAGTTGCAGAATGTGAGCAATGTTGTCAAATTCAACGGAGGACATCCGAGTTACGGTAATGAATCCAGACAAAAAAAGCTACGTTCCTGTGACACAAACAAAATCGGAATGCGTACACGAAATTTATTTACCACAGACATTCGCCACAATCGTGAGAATCATAACCCTTAAACCAGATTCCCGTGAAAAAAAAAAAGATTGTTGCCAGACGCAAAATAACCTTGATATATACTCATGGTATAGCCGCTCACCCAGATCTACAAATGCTCTGATAGTGCGTTGGCATTGCACTGTTCACCTTTTGGCGTTCTCTGGTCTGACACTAGTGGTGAGACTGGGCCATAAAGAAGGCAGTCTCTGGTGTAGGCCAATCAGTTTCTAACTTTTTGTGACGTCGTGTGACGAAGGGCGGGGGGGGAGATCAAAAAATCGCCCGAAATCGCGTGACGTCATTTATGGACGGCCCCTTTGCACCGTTCGACCTTTGGGCGTTCTCTGGTCTGACTTTGGTGAGATGAGGCTGTCCCTCTCTGGTGTAGGCCAATCAGTTTCGAAGACAATGCCCAAATATTATACTGGTAGGAACCTCCTGGTTACACCACCAGCCCACAGGGGATTATTGTGTCCGTCCGCCCGTCGCGCATCCAAAAATGGGAAGGGTGGGGCTGGGTGGGAGGGGAGGGGTGGGGAGGGGCTGGGTGGGGAGGGGAGGATGGAGAGGGGCTGGGTGGGGAGGGGTGGGGAGGGGCTGGGTGGGGGGTGGGAGGGGTGGGGCTGGGTGGGGAGGGGCTGGTCACCCCGTGGTGCCCTTATAAAACTCAACGTTTAACCTACTCACGCCGGCTTGTGCCCGCCCTCACAGTCGGGCATATTGTGCGGAACACACCACGTGGTGGTGCCACCGTTGACCCTGGCCACTGACCGAGCAACCCAACGTTCCTACCAGCTCCCTCCGCAGGAATGTGTTCAGAGCGTGTTTCGTTTGCATGTTCATCACAAGTACGTGCGGTTAATGCAGACTTGATTCCTTGCAAAAGGTTTATTTTCGGTGTTTGAAGATCTTAACACTTGTTTTTTTGCCAGAGAGGGTAAAACCTGTTCTTATGTTTCATGCTTTGATACTGGCAAAGAAAGGTCCCATGATGCACAATTACATTGTTATAAAAAGTACAATTGAACACTCTAAAATACCGAGAATAAATTACAGTCGGCTTTATTTAACCTTTCAAATTCTTCAGTCACTTCTTCCGTTTTTTGTATAGAAAATATATGCAGTCCCAACATTTTCATGTTTAATGTTATACACAGCGCGATTATTCATGCCGACTGCATCAACAACTCCCCATGCTCTGCAGTCCTCAATGTATCAAGACGCTTCCAGCCAATTAACGAGCGGAAATGTGCGGGGAGGGAACTGGAGCATCGGGAGGAAACCCAGGCACAGAAAGAGAGGAAGTTCAACTTGTTTTGACTGGCGAGGTCAGGTGGTGGTGGGTTATAGTAAAAAATGAAACTTTATACTTCAAGACGATCTAACGGTTCCAGGGGCGGAGCCAGGATTTCAGGCCGGGGTGACATTCAACAAATTTTAATATCAAGAATGATTTAGAGAGAGTCAGGCTGTTGAGCTAGACAACCACCGGTTGGCGACACGCTCTGACAATGCAGTTGAACGGAGTTCCGCCAGACCGAGTGTCGTACACTTACACGCAGAATGTCACCACCCCTGTCACCCCCCCTGGCTCCGCCCCTGAACGGTTCTAACCCAAAATAAACCAATTATGACTCCGATTGTGTTTGCTTCGTCCCAAGCACATTTGCTCTCCAACCATTCATAACCTCATCACCTCATCACAAAATGAGCATTGTGCCCATTGTTTAGTGTTAATATCGTTAATGTTCGTTCTTTAAGCACGAAGTTTGACTGCACCTCTGACGCGTTCGATTCCGCTCCGTTGGTGCCTGTTCCTCCATACGGGATCACCTTGATGTTGACCGTTGCTCTCGTTCTGTGCCGACAACACCACGGGTCTCCGTGACGAACTAGCTGGGTAGCTGGCTAAACCGGACTTCCCCCCACGTAACAGATAAATTTCGATTTAAAGCTTTCGTGACTGCAGGGATTCATATTCTTGGTTCTTTCGGTAAAGTCACCGCGTAGAAGGGAAATTAAAAAATAATAAAATAATAAAATTCTCACGACGTTTCGACTGCAGCACAAGCTATCATCATCATGTATGAAAGCCACAGCAAGAAAATTGTGAAAAAGTGGCGTTTTTTTCTTTTCTTAACGTTGGTTTTCACACCTGATGATGATTGCTTGTGTTGCAATCGAAACGTCGTGATAATTTTTTGTTATTTTTTATTCATTATTTCATTATTTCCCTTCTACGTGACTTTACCGAAAGAACCAAGAATATAAATAAACGATCAATGTTGAGACGGAAGACCTTTCTCGCACAGCTGCAACAATGTTTTAATGAGACAATAGTTCAGTTTTATATATCGTAGCCATTCACTGAAGCTGCATCGCCGAAAAAAACGCTGTAGCAATTGCGTAACGCACACAGTTTTTTTTTGCATGGGGTGCGCGAAATACAAAACAGCGGAAAGGCGAACCGGACCGACGCTGCTGACAATTGTCCAAGCTCTGTGATCCTATAATCGGGCTGTTTTGGCCAACTACATTCTGGCTTAGCAATCATTGGAAGGATTTGATAAACCATTTCGGGTCTTAATTGATTGTTCACGCTTACGGTGGCTTTCAGACCGCATCCATTATTTTCATCTCCCCCCTCCTCTTTTTCGAACATAGATGGACTCGTCCATCTGAATAACTGCAAAATCGCTGTCCGTGGTGCTAACGCTAAAAAAAACGCCACTTTTTTCAAATTTTCTTGCTGTGGTTTTCACACCTGATGATGATTGCTTGTGTTGCAGTCGAAACGTCGTGAGAATTTTATTGTTTAAAATTTTTATTATTTTACTGTTTCCCTTCTACGTGACTTTACCGAAAGAACCAAGAATATGAATCCCTGCAGTAACGAAAGCTTTAAATCAAAACTCCAAAAGAGTCGAGCAGAATGTGGATGAACTTTAGGGACACTGGGGCTCTGTACAGTAAACATCACAAAACGTTGGTTTTCGTAGCCAATACAAGGATCCGTCCCCTGCATTCGGGTTCGGCCGCACGGTAGATTTGTTGAAATTCTCGTGATCAATCCTCGAACATCGCACGAGATCGTCACGACTTGCCCTGGATACGCCGCTCGCGAGGAGCTTTATCGGTCATAACTTGAACGACGAAACGCCACGTGCTAACGACACCGTTGTAAACGTGAAAAATCGTTGCCGGGTTGGGGTGGAGGAGGGATAATAAAAATAACTTTGGATCTCCGCTACTCCAGTGGTGCCCAACCCAAAAAAAACAAACGCGGATCGCTGAGCTTCACGCTGCTGCGCTGCGATGACGACGAATCTGACGACGCCGAGTTACGCGCGGGCAAACGGCCGCGCCTCAACGGCCACACGGGGGCCCTTTTCGTTGTCCTTCCCCCACCCCACCCCGTCCGCCCGCCCGCCCGCCCGCCCGCCCGCCGTGCATCCGACGAGCGCCGCTGGCTACGTACGGCTCGAAAGACGTTCGACACGACACGCACACACGCACGCGCCGGCAAGCAGCGCCTCCGTGGCGCCGGCAAACGAGCGCTCGAACTCGGCGTCGGAGAACCTGGAGACGGAGCGCCTGGCCCGCTCGCGCAGCTGCCCGCGCTCGGCCGGCGGCAGCGCCAGGATGGCGGCCATGGCCTCGGCGTAGGCCTCCTCACCGGCGGCCAGGTAGCCGGTCGCCGCTCCCTCGGCGGGCACGACGATGTCCAGCTTGGGGCCGCCCGAGTCGTGCGCGAGCACGACCGCGCCGGCGGCCATGCACTCCACCACACCTCCGGGACGCGCGAGCGGAGGGGGCGGGAGGGGGGCGAGGGGGGCGGGGGAGACAAAGGTTCCCGCCGTTAACAGGCCGGATTCTCGGATTCTTTCGGTAAAGTCACACGGATACAAAATAAAAAAATTTTTAGTTTAAAACTAGGAGCAGAAAACCCACGACGTTTCGATCGCGAAACCGCCACGAGCGGTCTTCGTCAGGCGGAGAGAAAGGCAGCGGGGACAAAATGCAACCGCTGAGAAGGGCTTCCAAAAGTCGTGAGTGAGTGGGCGGGCGGGGGGGCGAGAGTTGCGAGGCAGCAGCAAGGAAAGCGGCGCGGCGTTAACAGCACGGGCGGGGCAGCCAGTGACTAATGTCGGAGTAAAGCGCGAGATAGAAGCGGAGCTGAAGGCGAGAGGCGCGGTCCAAGTGTGTTAGACAGTGGGGGGAGGAAGGGGGTAGAGATAGTGGGAAAGAGAGGGGGGGGGGGGTAGAGATAGGGGGAGAGAAGAGGGGGGTAGAGATGGGGGGGTGGGGGGCATTGCACCTCACTACACACGTCCACACTGCTGACGGTAGAGGTTGACAAGAAAACACACAAAGTCATGACCCATAGCGGTTGATGACATCTTTCCAATGATTGCTGAGTTTATGACCGTCGTCTCGGTGGCAATCGTGTCTGTGTCTGTATACATGGATGGCTTCGTGAACGAATCTTTGTTGATGGCCAGTCGGCTTGCAAAGTACCGTCGTCTTAGAGAAATCAATTTCACGTGAGCCAGCCGCATTAAAGCAATGATCATCCACGGCAGAAGTATTGGTCCTGCCGTATTTCAAGTGCTGTCAGCTGCTTGTTTGTTGTGTTTAGTTTGTTGTCCTTCCCCTGCACCTGCGATTAGCGCGGTTGGCCAGGTACGGTGCGAAAGAAGTTCAATATACATAGCACAAAGGTCCACACAATAGCCTGAACAGCCTGTTGGGGAAAGTGCTGTTAGCGTGTAGCACCTATCAAGATCAGCAAAGCACACGTGGAGGTAGTGGCCAACACCACGCCTTTTTTCTCCGTAGTAGCGATGTTTACACACTGCACTAAGTACTCATTTTTAGGCTGAGTCGACCTAGTGGAGGCCCAGGACCGGTTCAAATAATCGTCGCTGGCGTCGGCCGTGAGCGGGGATCGAACTCGGGTCGCCAGGTTCATAGCGCAGCGCGCTAACCGCTACACTACCGCTCAATTGGCATCACACACAGCAGTAGCAACATCGCCTCCATACTCTCAAAACTTGGCAGGACCTTCCAGCAAAAGAACCCTCTCCTGGGTAAACACGTCTAGTAGTAGTAGTAATAATAAGTGCGTACATTCTATTAATATTCCTCTTGTCAAGAACGTTCTCATCTGTGACTCCAAATATCTTCTCGTCGCCGCTGCATCGGCTCTCACATCACCGAGATAACATCACGAAGGCCTTATTGATGGGCCTTATGTGAATCCTATAATCAAGGGGCCCAGCTATTTGGTCATCAGCATAATCGTCCCAAACGTACTCGTGCAGCTGTTCCACCACATTTTTAAATATGGCCAAGATTCACAAGGTTGACTTTTGTGTGGACCACCCCGATCCTGAATCCCTTCCATCTCAACTTATAGATCTTTATCTCTCTATCAAAATCAGCTCAAGCCTCCCGTAGGTCACGTGACTTCTGTGTGGCGACCCCCACTCTTAAACCCCTCTCCTTTCTCAACTGCAGCCCCCTGTGACAACAGACTCTGCTCCTCCGTCAAGGTCACTCCTCTTCTTTGGTTCTTTCGGTAAGGTCACGTAGAATGAGAATAAAATAATAAATTGATAATATAAAATAACACAATAATATTCTCACGACGTTTCGGCCACAACACAAGCGGCCTTCATCAGGTGAAGGGACGAGACTTGCAGTCACGAAAGCTTTAAATCGAAGGTCACTCCTGTTCGCTCATTCTGTACTCTGTTCTTTCTCTCTTCCCTCCCCTATAATCACCCCCATCATCCCCCTCTCATCATCCCCCTCTCATCATCCCCCTCTCATCATCCCCCTCTCATCATCCCCCTCTCATCATCCCCCTCTCATCATCCCCCTCTCATCATCCCCCTCTCATCATCCCCCTCTCATCACCCCCCTCTCATCACCCCCCTCTCATCATCCCCCTCTCATCATCCCCCTCTCATCATCCCCCTCTCATCATCCCCCTCTCATCATCCCCCTCTCATCACCCCCCTCTCATCATCCCCCTCTCATCATCCCCCTCTCATCATCCCCCTCTCATCACCCCCCTCTCATCATCCCCCTCTCATCACCCCCCTCTCATCATCCCCCTCTCATCATCCCCCTCTCATCATCCCCCTCTCATCATCCCCCTCTCATCACCCCCCTCTCATCACCCCCCTCTCATCATCCCCCTCTCATCATCCCCCTCTCATCACCCCCCCTCTCATCACCCCCCTCTCATCACCCCCCTCTCATCATCCCCCTCTCATCACCCCCCTCTCATCACCCCCGACATATTGTCCCGAGCATTGCTTCTCGCGCTCCTCCTCCCCTTCCTGCCGCTCATCTTGAGACTTTCCGTCCTGGGGTCCCCATCCCTCTCCCGTTCCTTTTCTCTTTCTCCATCCATTGCATCCTCGGCTCTACTCCCCTTCGCACGGTGCGACACACGGGGGGACGGAGATTTTACGTGTTGTTAAAAGACGAAAAATAACACGAGGGAGCGATGCGAGGTGACGGCGCGTGTGAGCGCGATGGATACCTATTCCGAAGTGCTCGTTCCACATGGTGTGGAGACCGATGGTGGCTCGGCCCAACAGCGCTTTGAGCTCGGAGAAGGAAACCCCGATGTGGAATTCCACGCGGAGATCCAGGCCCAGAGAGGCGGCCAGGGCTCGCAAGCCATCCACCCTCTTCTGGTCCTCCCGATCCCGACAGCCACCCACCAGCACCAGCTGTCAATCACGCACACACACACAAATCGGGTAATAATATCACCATCTACCAGCACCAGCTCTGAATAATACACCCACATTAGCAAGCGAACCAGCACCAGCTGCCTGCCATACATTTCCACGTGCTAAGCCACCTCGTTGAGCTATTCGTTTGCGATGGCCAGGTCGCTTCTGAGAAAGAGCCACGTAGCCCCAGCGGCCCCTTACCTGGTGAAATAATAATAATAATAATAGCGTCGCACTTTCAGTTCAACATTCACGCAGGCACTGGAGCTGCACAACCTGACGGCGCGTTCAGAACGACGGCCACCTTCACGCGCGCTCGCTCCGCGGGCGCCAACAGCTCCTGCAGCCGGTGGAAGGCGCGGATCTGCAGGGCGTGATCCTTCTCCGGCCGGAACTGCGCCACGGACACAATCGTCGGCCCGTCGCCACCGCCGCCGTCCTCCTGTCGCTCCAGCGGCAGCTCCAGGAAGGCGTCGACGTCGCACGGAGGGTACACGACGGCGGTGCGGTCGCCGCAGCGCCACAGCGCCAGCACGTGACCCAGCGTCCACGAGGAGTTGACCATCACGCAGCGGGCGCTCGAGCCCACCAGGCCGTACAGCCACGCGAACAGCCGGTAGTAGACCACTTTTGTGCGGCTCAGCAGGGGGCTGCGCGAGATGCGCCCGGCGTTGTTGAAGCGCGCGGAGCGGTCCCGTACGACGTTCAGCATGTCCACGCTGATCGTGGGGTAGTGGACGTAGCAGCCCACGCGGCAGCCGCCCAGGAAGCGGAAGAGGGGCATCACGAACGCGTAGCCCATCGAATCGATGAGGACGTGCGGCACGCGTCGGCAGAGCGCCTCCCATCCCAGCACGATGGAGCCCAGGCTCTGGCCCAGGAGGGTGAAGTGCGGATATCGCTCGGCCTCCACCAGGTACCGGCAGCGCAGGAATACGAAGTCGACGGGACGGGGAAGGGTGATGTTAAAGCGCTGGCGTGCTCCCTCGATGATCTGGGCTCCGGTGACTCCCGTGTCGCCCGTGTACACGACAAACACCGCGTCCCTGTACCTGCACCAAACGCAAACATCCCCCGTTGTAGCCCGAACAGACTGATGGGGCAAACGCTGTCAGGGAATAGCACCGATGAAGGCCGACACGGCACACGAAAGGGGTGGGTGGCCCGCACTAAGTACGGTCACCTTCGTCTCCCTAGTGACGAAGTTTACACATTACACCAGGTATTCATTTGAGTATGATCCCGAAAGGGAATGGAACTCAGGTTATCGGGTTCGTAGCACCGTGCACTAACCACTACGCCAACGCTCCCCCTACATCACAAAGACAAATACCTGCATCGCGCACACACCTGGTTAACGCGACAGCACTGGTTGACTCAAGAGCGCTTGACGTCACATCTCATATCAACACATTTGAAAGGGCACTCCCTGTGGCAGCTGTCCCTGTGTTGCACAAGGTGACTCAGCACCTGGCCTGCAATCGGGCATCAATCTGCCAGTAGGAGGCAATGATTGCTACTTATAATCCCAATGGAGTATAATCCCAATTCAGAGACAAGGCACGTGGACCAGACAGAGGGACAGACAAGAAGACGCAAGCAGACATACATGGAAAAGATGCAAGAAGATGGGTGGCGAGATGCAATCTGCCTTGCCCGGTATACAAGGTCGTGGGTACGATCCCGATCTCGACGCCTGGACATTGGGAGTTTGCATGTTCTCCACCGTGGTCGCGTGGAATTTTCCTCCAGGTCCACTGGTCGACATGCATTTATATTATTTGGCTGCTACAAATTGCCACGTGGTAAAACCACTTCGCTGTGCTATCATTTGTGGCCAGGTCGCCTCTGAAAAAAAGCTAATTGCTCAGTGGGCTTTATCTGATTAAAAAATTTAAATCGTTTTTTAGTTTATAATCATCATCGTCATCACAGTCTGGGATCGTCCGCGGTCGAGCACGATGATCCTCCCGTTTGCGAAACCGTAACACGGAACCTCACAGTGGTGCGATAGCGGCAACACGATTCACAAGGATCCCTCTGGCGATGCCGTCCGGAGCTTCGGCCGCTGGCAGGTTCACCCGTGGCTGAGAGGCCGATTTGGGGAAGGGTGGCGGGCGGCTAACTCTGTGACGTCACGGCCATCGCCGGTGCGGATGGGCTGTGGCTTGGCTGGCCCACTTTCGTGCTGACGAGCCACTGGGTAGACCAACATGCTTCGTCGGCCGTCCATTTTTCACTTCACTGTCCATTTTCCGTTCTTCCCTAAAAACCTCGCGTATTGTTCCTCTCTTACCCAAACGCCTCTTCCCTTACCCATCACTAACACCGTCAACCCCTATCCCAACTTCCCCACCCATTCATAACACTCACTCGTCATTAACCACTCACTGTCACTTTCTATCATCGGTTATTTCACTCATCATCATCTGCATGCACCGCCATCTTTCTCGTCAACTCATCTCATCACACTTCTGCTGTAGAAATCGTAAAATCTTTTTTCAGCGCCTTGGGCAAGGCACTATATGAATCGCAATAGGATAAGGTGTGATAAGGACAAATACTCCGGATTGTTTTGGTCTCCTTGCCATCGGGATCCAGGTCCTGCCTCGATTGAGCATCGTGTGGAATCTGGCGTGCAAAAGTGCCCTCGCGTTAACCCTCTTCCGTTCCGAGATGTCTGCAAATCACCGGGTGGGGTGTCCCGTTCACTGCCGAATCTCGGAACGCACAAGCGGTTCAGCGTTCAATTAATTTAGAAAGGCATAGCACCTCTAGATTTGAAGCTTTCGTGACTGCACGGATCCATACTCTTTGATTTTCGTTGTTTTATTTTTTTACCTACGTGACTTTACCGAAAAGAACCAGAGAGCATAGGCATAGCACCATTGTATTTGAAGATACTGCGCTCGCCGCGGAGAACCGAAGCGACACGGCCACACACTACGATAGCTGGCGACAAACGGTGCCACAGGCCCTCCCGCACGGCCTCGTGGCAGAATCGGCAACACCTGAAGACGTAGCGCAAGACGCGCGCAATTTTATTCTGGCACGATTCCGTCACCGGAGGGGAATCGGGCCGAGAAAAACGGGTTCGCCAACTCGCGCACAGCATACCGCGCACAAGTGCCAGGAGCTCCGCTCCTCCCCCTTACCTGCTCTGCAGGGTCCTCAGGGCGCACCACAGCACCCGCTCGCCACCACCGCCGGCGTTGCAGTACGGGTGGAAGAAGGCCACCACCAGGGGCGCGTCGCCTCGGCTCGACACCATCCACTGGCGCACGAGGAAGAGCAGCGTGACGAGCGCCAGCATCAGCACGACCAGGGCAAGCGCCAGCGGCAGGAGAATCGACGCAAACAGCCTGCGGCGCAGACGCGCGGCTCACGGTTACGTGTGGCGGTGGTTTTCTACAATGTGGGCGGGAAAAGCTACACAGCAGCACCCCGCCCCCCACCCAAACGGCCACCCCGATCAGATTATATTATCAATGCCGCCACTGCGGAACCAAAGCTGTGACGCTGGAATAGACGCACACAGGTTAGCCGGGCGGTCGTGGCGACGCACGCCTGTAATCCAGAGCTGTGTGGAGGAGAGGGTCGGTGGATCGCACAAATGTTGCGAAAACTCCATTCCCGTTGGGCATCGAGGTGCTGTACCCTGGCCCCCGCCAGAAGGCAGTCCAGCAAGTGGACTCATGGCCATCTGTTTCCAACTATACGGGGATAGAGTGTTGCCCCCTTGCACGCACGCGTGGGTTTTCCCCGGGCGCTCCCGTTTCCCTCCCACTTGTATAAACGCCAATTGGCCGTAAATATCTTGAAGTAAAAATCCATGGTGGCAGCAGGGTCCTGCTGAAAACGAGTCCCAACCACTCAGCAGCAGCAACAGCAGTGGGCGACTCCACAGGGCAACGAGTCGCCGTGACGTCACATCCTCGTCATCCTCACCACCACCAACAACAACAACAACCAGGCAGCAGCAGCAACAACAGCGGGCTACTCCACAGGGCACCCAATCGCCGTGATGTCACATCCTCGTCATCCTCACCACCACCAACAACAACAACCAGGCAGCAGCAGCAACAGCAGCGGGCTACTCCACAGGGCACTCAATCGCCGTGACGTCACATCCTCGTCATCCTCACCGCCACCGGCCAACTTCAGCAGGTTTTTGTTTTTCCCTTGCTGTGGTTGTCCCACCCGATGACGATTGCTCGCGTTGCGATCGAAACGTCGTGGCCTGTCATCGTCCTACCCACGTGACTTCACCGAAAGAACCCAAGGAGCGCAAACAAAGCGTGCGAAAACACCCCGTGCCACCATGCTGCCAATACCACAACGGTTTCAAATGTGCGGTAAGGCCCTCACGCTGCCTCCACACGAGCCCAAGACTCACAACCGTGAGGTCATGGACCTGGGCCGCCACTGCTGCTGACAGCAATTGGGGGGGGGGGGGGGGGTTGGGGGGTGGGAGCAGAAACACAAACAGGGGGGCAGACAGAGGGACAAAGACAGCCAGAGAGACACGGAGGGGGGGGGGAGACAGAAAGACAAACAGCAAACAGGGGGGCAGACAGAGGGACAAACGGGGGGAGGGCAGACAGAGGGACAAACGGGGGGGGGGGGGGGGAGGGACAGACAGAGAGACACGGGGGGTAGGGGGAGACGTAAAGACAAACAGGGGGGCAGACAGAGGGACAAACGGGGGGGGCAGACAGAGAGACACGGGGGGCAGGCAGCGGGGGGCTCACTCCGTGCCCCCGACCCACGCCGTCACCTGATGGCTCCGTGCACAGTCTCCGCCGCGTCCATGCCCGCACGCTCCCTCTGCGTGTCTCTCTGTCTCGCTCTCTGCGTGTCTCTCTGTCTCGCTCTCTGCTGTGTCTCTGTCTCGCTCTCTTCGTCCTCGCTACCGGCCGCGGCTGCCGCAGCCAGCAACGAAGGGAGCGCTCCAGCGACGTCACGATGGGAGCCAGGAAAGTCTGGGGGGAGGGGAGGGGGGGAAGCCTGCATCGTCACATCCTCATCATCCTCACCAGCACGACCACCAACAACCACCCAGTCGCCGTGACGTCACATCCTCATCATCATCACCACCACCAATAACAACCACCGGGCAGCAGCAGCAACAACAGCGGACGACTCCACAAGGCACCAAGTCGCCGTGACGTCACATCCTCATCATCCTCACCACCAACAACCACCAAGTCGCCGTGACGTCACATCCTCATCATCCTCACCGCCACCAACAACAACAACCGGGCAGCAACAACGGGCGATTTCAAAAGGCACCAAGTCGCCGTGACGTCACATCCTCATCATCCTCACCACCAACAACCACCGCGTCGCCGTGACGTCACATCCTCACCACCACCACCCGAGTCGCCGTGACGTCACATCCTCATCATCCTCACCACCAACAACCGAGTCGCCGTGACGTCACATCATCATCCTCACCAACAACAACAACCACCGGGCAGCAGCAACAACAGCGAGCGACTCTACATGGCACCGAGTCGCCATGACGTCACATCCTCACCACCACCAAGTCGCCGTGACGTCACATCCTCATCATCCTCACCACCACCAACAACCACCCAGTCGCCGTGACGTCACATCCTCATAATCCTCACCACCAACAACCACCGGGCAGCAACAACAGCGGGCGACTTCACGAGGCACCGAGTCGCCGTGACGTCACATCCTCATCATCCTCACCACCACCAGCAACAACCACCGAGCCGCCGTGACGTCACATCCTCATCATCCTCACCACCACCAACAACCGAGTCGCCGTGACGTCACATCATCATTATCCTCACCACCACCAACAACCACCGAGTCGCCGTGACGTCACATCCTCATCATCCTCACCAACAACAACACCAACAACAACCACCGAGTCGCCGTGACGTTACATCCTCATCATCCTCACCACCAACAACAACAACCACCGGGCAGCAGCAATAACAGCGAGCGACTCCACAAGGCACGAGTCGCCGTGACGTCACATCCTCATCATCCTCACCAACAACAACAACCACCGGGCAGCAGCAATAACAGCGAGCGACTCCACAAGGCACCGAGTCGCCGTGACGTCACATCCTCATCATCCTCACCAACAACCACCGAGTCGCCGTGACGTCACATCCTCATCATCCTCACCACCAACAACAACCACCGGGCAGCAGCAACAACAGCGGGCGACTCCACAAGGCACCAAGTCGCCGTGACGTCACATCCTCATCATCCTCACCGCCACCAACAACCACCGAGTCGCTGTGACGTCACATCCTCATCATCCTCACCACCAACAACAACCACCGAGTCGCCGTGACGTCACATCCTCACCACCACCACCAACAACCACCACCGGGCAGCAGCAACAACAGCGGGCGACTTCACGAGGCACCGAGTGGCCGTGACGTCACATCCTCATCATCCTCACCACCAACAACAACCACCGAGTCGCCGTGACGTCACATCCTCATTATCCTTCTTCCGCCTCCTCCTCCTCGCGACGTAATCAGCAAGCGACTCCAGCGCGCGCCATCACGTTGCGGTAAAATCGTCATCACCGGTCACATCGTTTACAATCACCACCACCATCACCACCAGCAATACCACCATCAGCAACAACACCACCACTATCATCATCACTACCACCACCATCATCATCACTACCACCACCATCAAGCAACACCACCATCATCACAACCACCACCATCAGCAACACCACCATCACCACTATCATCATCACTACCACCATTAACAACAACACCATCACCACCACCATCAGCAACACCACCATTAAGAAACACCACCACCATCATCACCACCATCATCACCAGCAACACCCTCGTCCGCCGTGCGCTGGGTTACTCGTCGCACGGGGCGAGGTCGTCCCGACTCTCATCCCTTGTGACTCTCACCCCCTCTCTTATCCCTTGTGACTCTCACACCCTCTCTCATCCCCTCTGTCACCCCCTCTCTTATCCCCTATCTCATCCCCTCTGTCACCCCCTCTCTCACCCCCTCTCTCATCCCCTCTCTCACCCCCTCTGTCACCCCCTCTCTCACCCACTCTGTCACCCCCTCTCTCACCCACTCTGTCACCCCCTCTCACCCCTCTGTCACCCCCTCTCTCACCCCCACTCTCACCCCCCTCTCTCATCCCCTGTGACTCTCACCCCCTCTCTCACCCCCTCTGTCATCCCCTCTCTCACCCCCTCTGTCACCCCCTCTGTCACCCCCTCTCTCACCCACTCTGTCACCCCCTCTCTCACCCCCTCTCTCACCCCCTCTCTCATCCCCTCTCTCACCCCCTCTGTCACCCCCTCTCTCACCCCTCTCTCATCCCCTCTCTCACCCCCTCTCTCACCCACTCTGTCACCCCCTCTCTCATCCCCTCTCTCACCCCCTCTCTCACCCCCTCTCTCACCCACTCTGTCACCCACACTCTCATCCCCTCTCTCATCCCCTCTCACCCCCTCTCTCAACCCCTCTCTCACCCACTCTCTCATCCCATCGGATTGCGCAGTGGACGCGAAGCGGCCGGACTCAGCTCTGAGGTAACGATGGGGGTGACGAGGTAACGACTGAGGGTGACGAGGTAACGACTCGGGGTGATGGGGGTGACGAGGTAACGACCCAGGGTGATGGTGACGAGGTAACGACCCGAGGTGATGGGGGTGAGGAGGTAACGATGGGGGTGACGAGGTAACGACTCGGGGTGATGGGGGTGACGAGGTAACGATGGGGGTGATGGGGGTGACGAGGTAACGACTCGGGGTGATGGGGGTGACGAGGTAACGACCCATGGTGATGGGGGTGACGAGGTAACGACTCGGGTTTGATTAGAGTGACGAGGTAACGACTCGGGGTGACGAGGTAATGACTCGGAGTGATGGGGGTGACGAGGTAACGACCCGGGGTGATGGGGGTGACGAGGTAACGATCCGGGGGTGATGGGGGTGACGAGGTAACGACTCGGGTTGATGGGGTTGACGAGGTAACGACCCGGGGTGATGGGGTGACGAGGTAACGACTCGGGGTGATGGGGGTGACGAGGTAACGACTCGGGGGTGACGAGGTAACGACTCAGGGTGATGGGGTGACGAGGTAACGACTCAGGGTGATGGGGGGTGACGAGGTAACGATCCGGGGGTGATGGGGGTGACGAGGTAACGACCCAGGGTGATGGGGGTGACGAGGTAACGACTCGGGTTTGATGAGGGTGACGAGGTAACGACCCGGGGTGACGAGGTAACGACTCGGAGTGATGGGGGTGACGAGGTAACGACTCAGGGTGATGGGGGTGACGAGGTAACGACCCGGGGGTGATGGCGGTGACGAGGTAACGACCCAGGGTGATGGGGGTGACGAGGTAACGACTCAGGGTGATGGGGGTGACGAGGTAACGACCCGGGGTGATGGGGGTGACGAGGTAACGACTCAGGGTGATGGGGGTGACGAGGTAACGACCCGGGGGTGATGGCGGTGACGAGGTAACGACTCAGGGTGATGGGGTGACGAGGTAACGACTGGGGGTGATGGGGGTGACGAGGTAACGACTCGGGGTGATGGGGGTGACGAGGTAACGACCCGGGGTGATGGGGGTGACGAGGTAACGACCCATGGTGATGGGGGTGACGAGGTAACGACTCGGGGTGATGGGGGTGACGAGGTAACGACCCGGGGTGATGGGGGTGACGAGGTAACGACCCAGGGTGATGGGGGTGACGAGGTAACGACCCATGATGATGGGGGTGACGAGGTAACGACTCGGGTTTGATTATGGTGACGAGGTAACGACTCGGGGTGACGAGGTAACGACTCAGGGTGATGGGGGTGACGAGGTAACGACCTGGGGTGATGGGGGTGACGAGGTAACGACTCTGGGTGATGGGGGTGACGAGGTAACGACCCGGGGTGATGGGGGTGACGAGGTAACGATCCGGGGGTGATGGGGGTGACGAGGTAACGACCCGGGGGTGATGGCGGTGACGAGGTAACGACCCAGGGTGATGGGGGTGACGAGGTAACGACTCAGGGTGATGGGGGTAACGAGGTAACGACTCAGGGTGATGGGGGTGACGAGGTAACGACTCAGGGTGATGGGGGTGACGAGGTAACGACCCAGGGTGATGGGGGTGACGAGGTAACGACCCAGGGTGATGGGGGTGACGAGGTAACGACTCATGGTGATGGGGGTGACGAGGTAACGACTCAGGGTGATGGGGGGTGACGAGGTAACGACCCGGGGGTGATGGGGGTGACGAGGTAACGACCCGGGGTGACGAGGTAACGACCCAGGGTGACGAGGTAACGACCCCGGGTGACGAGGTATAACAGTCGAGCGAGGTTGTCTGCAGATGAGACTCACAGGGCTCAGAGAGAGTTCAGTCCAGCAGTGGATCGTGGGTTCAAGAGTTGGAGTGGATCTTGTGCAACCAGCCGCGAACTCAGAGTGACCAAGGTTGAGTCTCACGAGTGGATGGACGAGTGAATGATTGAGTGGACGAGTGAATGATTGAGTGAGTGGACGAGTGAATGATTGAGTGAGTGGACGAGTGAATGATTGAGTGAGTGGACGAGTGAATGCTTGAGTGAGTGGACGAGTGAATGATTGAGTGAGTGGACGAGTGAATGATTGAGTGAGTGGACGAGTGAATGATTGAGTGAGTGGACGAGTGAATGATTGAGTGAGTGGACGAGTGAATGATTGAGTGAGTGGACGAGTGAATGATTGAGTGAGTGGACGAGTGAATGCTTGAGTGAGTGGACGAGTGAATGCTTGAGTGAGTGGACGAGTGAATGCTTGAGTGAGTGGACGAGTGAATGATTGAGTGATTGGACGAGTGAATGATTGAGTGAGTGGACGAGTGAGACGGTGGGTGAATGATGGGTAAATGATTGAATGAGTGAAGATGGTGAGTGAGTGAGTGAGATGGTGGGTGTGTGTTAGATGGTGGGTGAGTTAAATGGTGAATGAGTGAGATGGTGGGTGAGTGAGTGAGATGGTGGGTGAGTGAGTGAGATGGTGGGTGAGTGAGTGAGATGGTGGGTGAGTGAGTGAGATGGTGGGTGAGTGAGTGAGATGGTGGATGAGTGAGTGAAGATGGTGAGTGAGTGAGTGAGATGGTGGGTGAGTGAGTGAGATGGTGGGTGAGTGAGTGCGATGGTGGGTGAGTGAGTGCGATGGTGGGTGAGTGAGTGAGATGGTGGGTGAGTGAGTGAGATGGTGGGTGAGTGAGTGAAGATGGTGAGTGAGTGGGATGGTGGGTGAGTGAGTGAGATGGTGGGTGAGTGAGTGAGATGGTGGGTGAGTGAGTGAAGATGGTGAGTGAGTTAGATGGTGGGTGAGTGAGTGAAGATGGTGAGTGAGTGAGATGGTGGGTGAGTGAGTGAGATGGTGGGTGAGTGAGTGAGATGGTGGGTGGGTGAGTGAGATGGTGGGTGAGTGAGTGAGATGGTGGGTGAGTGAGTGAGATGGTGGGTGAGTGAGTGAGTGAGATGGTGGGTGAGTGAGTGAGATGGTGGGTGGATGAGTGAGGTGGTGGGTGAGTGAGATGGTGGGTGGGTGAGTGAGTGAGATGGTGGGTGAGTGAGTGAAGATGGTGAGTGAGTGAGATGGTGGGTGAGTGACTGAGATGGTGGGTTAGTGAGTGAGATGGTGGGTTAGTGAGTGAGATGGTGCGTGAGTAAGTTAGATGGTGGGTGAGTGAGTTAGATGGTGAGTGAGTGAGTTAGATGGTGAGTGGGTGAGATGGTGGGTGAGTGAGTGAGATGGTGGGTGAGTGAGTGAGATGGTGGGTGAGTGAATGAGATGGTGGGTGAGTGAGTGAGATAGTGGGTGAGTGAGTGAGATGGTGGGTGAGTGAGTGAGATGGTGAGTGAGTGAGATGGTGAGTGAGATGGTGGGTGAGTTAGATGGTGAGTGAGTGATTGAGATGGGTGAGTGAGTGAAGATTGTGAGTGAGTGAGATGGTGGGTGAGTGAGTGAGATGGTGGGTGAGTGAGTGAAGATGGTGAGTGAGTGAGATGATGGGTGAGTGAGATGGTGGGTGAGTGAGTGAGATGGTGGGTAGGTGAATGAGATGGTGGGTGAGTGAGTGAGATGGTGGGTGAGTGAGTGAGATGGTGGGTGAGTGAGTGAGATGGTGGGTGAGTGAGTGAGATGGTGAGTGAGTGAGATGGTGGGTGGGTGAGTGAGATGGCGGGTGAGTGAGTGAAGATGGTGAGTGAGTGAGATGGTGGGTGAGTAAGTGAGATGGTGGGTGAGTTAGATGGTGAGCGAGTGAGATGGTGGGTGGGTCGGTGAGTGAGTGAGATGGTGGGTGGGTCGGTGAGTGAGTGAGATGGTGGGTGAGTGAGATGGTGGGTGAGTGAGTGAGATGGTGGGTGGGTGAGTGAGATGGTGGGTGAGTGAGTGAGATGGTGGGTGGGTGAGTTAGATGGTGGGTGGGTGAGTGAATGAGATGGTGGTGAGTGAGTGAGATGGTGGGTGAGTGAGTGAGATGGTGGGTGAGTGAGTGAGATGGTGGGTGAGTGAGTGAGATGGTGGATGAGTGAGTGAAGATGGTGAGTGAGTGAGTGAGATGGTGGGTGAGTGAGTGAGATGGTGGGTGAGTGAGTGCGATGGTGGGTGAGTGAGTGCGATGGTGGGTGAGTGAGTGAGATGGTGGGTGAGTGAGTGAGATGGTGGGTGAGTGAGTGAAGATGGTGAGTGAGTGGGATGGTGGGTGAGTGAGTGAGATGGTGGGTGAGTGAGTTAGATGGTGGGTGAGTGAGTGAAGATGGTGAGTGAGTTAGATGGTGGGTGAGTGAGTGAAGATGGTGAGTGAGTGAGATGGTGGGTGAGTGAGTGAGATGGTGGGTGAGTGAGTGAGATGGTGGGTGGGTGAGTGAGATGGTGGGTGAGTGAGTGAGATGGTGGGTGAGTGAGTGAGATGGTGGGTGAGTGAGTGAGTGAGATGGTGGGTGAGTGAGTGAGATGGTGGGTGGATGAGTGAGGTGGTGGGTGAGTGAGATGGTGGGTGGGTGAGTGAGTGAGATGGTGGGTGAGTGAGTGAAGATGGTGAGTGAGTGAGATGGTGGGTGAGTGACTGAGATGGTGGGTTAGTGAGTGAGATGGTGGGTTAGTGAGTGAGATGGTGCGTGAGTAAGTTAGATGGTGGGTGAGTGAGTTAGATGGTGAGTGAGTGAGTTAGATGGTGAGTGGGTGAGATGGTGGGTGAGTGAGTGAGATGGTGGGTGAGTGAGTGAGATGGTGGGTGAGTGAATGAGATGGTCGGTGAGTGAGTGAGATAGTGGGTGAGTGAGTGAGATGGTGGGTGAGTGAGTGAGATGGTGAGTGAGTGAGATGGTGAGTGAGATGGTGGGTGAGTTAGATGGTGAGTGAGTGATTGAGATGGGTGAGTGAGTGAAGATGGTGAGTGAGTGAGATGGTGGGTGAGTGAGTGAGATGGTGGGTGAGTGAGTGAAGATGGTGAGTGAGTGAGATGATGGGTGAGTGAGATGGTGGGTGAGTGAGTGAGATGGTGGGTAGGTGAATGAGATGGTGGGTGAG